AAATTATCAATCCCATGATTAATCTTATACCTGTGTCCAGATAAGTTGCAAAGTCTTTCTATGTCTCAGTTATGAAAAGTATTTCCATTTTCATAACATTTCAGTACATAATACTGGACTAAAATGTACAATAAGGGCTCAGGATAGGTAAGAGCTCTGGTTGCCAAGCATGAGGGAGGATCTGAGTTCAAATCCTCAGTTCTGTGGAGAGAAGAGACAAGAGAATTGCTGGGGCTTGCTGGTTGCCAGCCTAGATCCATGTTCAGTGAGAGATCCTGTCTCAGAGAATAAGGTAAAGAATGATAGAATAGGATACAGGACATTCTCCTCCATTCTCTTCTGGACACGTGGACAGGCATGTGCACTTACACGCACATGTGCACACTCTCCAATATGGCAGGGAATAAGAGAGCCTTGATGCTCTGATAGAAGAAGCCACTGGATGATCTCTGGTATGGCATTTGGGCAATACCAACATATTTTAGTGCACACCATTTCCAATGTGATGGTGATCGCCTGTTCAAAAGTATGAAACTAGGGAAAGGAAAAGATGTTCATACAAGTAGTTAAAATGTGGATGCAAATGGTAGGGCAACTTTGAAAAATAAAATTACCATTTCTAGGGTGTGTGACCGAGAGGCTCAGAGCTAGGGCAAGAGCCAGTGTTCATGAAGAGTGTTTCTGATCTCTAAAGTGATGTGTATTTCTTTAATTAAAGAATGATGCAGAGATGTGGGTGGAATGAGGGTCTGTGGAGGCACCTGTCAGACAAGAGCTTTGGAGATGTGGGAGACCTGGGAATTGGGAGATGGGCAGAGAGCCTTTCAGGTGTAGCTGAGTGGAACCATGGTGGCAATTGTGGTCTTGCTTTCTCCTTGGAGCTGCCAGAGGAGTTCTGTTTGTCATGTTTTGGGCATACCTGGAGTCCATATCCCTCTGTCAATCTCCAAGGCTTAACCTCGGCAAGAGTGGGGGTGGAAGGACAAAGAAGGTCCTTTTTCCTAAGTGTGTTTAGAGAATCCCACAGCCCCAAACCTGTGCTGTGGGGGTTGAAAAAAAAATCATAGGGCAAGTCCAAGGGCAAATCCCAGGAAAAATGCCAGGGAAAGTCCAGGACTGGTGGCAGATGGGCAAGGAAGACATGGTGGCAGAGGATGAGGTGGCTGGTCACACTACACCCACAGTCAGGAAGCAGAGAGAGGGGAATGCTGGTGCTCTTACCTCAGCCCAGGGAGATGAGCCACCCATATCCAGGGTAGGTCTTCCCTCCTGTGTTGATGCTCCCTAAAATGCCTGAGGTTTGTTTCCCAGTTTTAACAGCAAAATATCATGGTTCTTGCCTCAAAGTGGAAAAAGAGACAGTACATGTTGGACCTGTGCAAAATAGAAAAAGTCAGAAGGAACCATATGAACAACAAAAGTGTTGTGTTGTGAGAATGGTAGAATCTTATCACAGGGTAATGAAGTAGGATCTGTCCTGTAGAAGAGGATAATTGTTAGTTATGAGAGACCAAATGCATATAAAGAAGCAACCTTGGAGGCACCAAAAAGAACAATAAAACCTGAGTTTCCATAACAAGGGTTTAGGCAGGAGGTTTATAGCAGGCTGACTAACAAGACCTAAGAGCAAAAAGCTCATAGCTCTTTATTCTTTAAAAAGTTCTTCCCCTAAAGTTCTCTTCAAAAGTTTCTTCCAGAAAGTTCTCTCTCAAAAAGCTCTCTTTAAGATTTCTCAAAAGCTCTCTATAAAAATTTTCCCTTTAGAGGCTCTCTCTGAAAGTTGTCTTAAGAAGTTCTCCTTAAAAATTCTCTCCTTAAAAATCAATTCTAGACAGGCATTGGTGGTGCACGCCTTTAATCCCAGCACTCAGGAAGCAGAAGCAGGTGGATCTCTGAGTTCAAGGCCAGTCTGGTCTACAGAGCTAGTTCCAGGACAAGCACCAAAGCACCAAAGCAATACAGAGAAACCCTGTCTCTAAAGACAAAAAACAAAAACAAACAAAACAAAAAAAATTAATTCTCTAACAGTTCTTTTAGATCCCATAAGGTTTCCAGTTTATATACCCACAGACACAATTAGCAAAGATACAGGCATGTGTATGTCTTAGAGCCAGGAAGGAAGATAAGGTCTTGACAAAAGCAGGGCACCTCATATTTCAGAGGGGAGATGTGACATGTAAAATGCTTAGGCAAACTTAAGTCTCAAGGGGGACACGGCATGCTGTTAATTGATTAGAAGTGACTTCTCAGCGCTATATCAAAGGGAAAAACTAAAGCTATGCAGTGTGAGATCAGGAAGCTGCTGCCTGTAGCCTCAGGGCAAGAAGTGGAATGCTCCTACTGCTGATGCTCCAGTGAGAAGAAATTTCCTTTCTTTGGGGCCTTTTTGAGAAGATAAATCACCTAGTATATTTTCTCCATCATAAGTTAATTCTGGGGGGTTGATACCTAGAATGTTAATTGCTACTTCTAAAATAAATGATAAAGGCTTCCAACATTTCCATAGCTGATTTTTTTCCCTATGTGATGCAAAATTAATATAAGTGGGTAATAGTCCATTGGAATTGAGATGGCAATTTGTTTCTTTTATGATGCTTAGGGCAGGGGTCCATTGAGCCAGCATGCCTGTAGGAAGCACAGATGTATTCAATATATAAAGGTATTCAATTAAGTCAAAATGAACTTTTGTCAGTTGAATATTTTGAATATTTCTCAATTGTTACAGAGGGCAGGAGACTTAGCAGTGAGGATAGACATAGAGACTAGACCAGAATCTCCATTAGCAACCTAAGATGAGGTTGGTATTCAGCTGTGGAAATGTGTATCAGTCCTTCACATAGTTAATATCACACAATAGTTTTTGAAAATTATTTCATGTTTTTATGAGTGACAATCGAAGCTGTACCTTTTGAAGATATATATCTACAATATATATCAATTATTGAAAAGGTACATGTTTAATTTTTCTCATATGATTTTGAGACTCATGTTTTCGAGACAAATGATACGAGACAAATGATAGCATACTGGAAAACTTTGAATTTTGTGAGTAAAAAAATATCATTCATATAATAAATAAGTTTTAAGGTATTTTTGGTGCACGGGCAACAAAGCCTCAGCCACAAAACATTGACACATGCTGGAGCAGATAAACATTTCCTCAGGAGAAAATTTCCACTGATGTCCCTGTATACATTCCTTATTACTAAATGCAGGTACAGAAGGGCAAACTTCTTTATTCTGGTAGGCTGAAAGAATAGCAAAAAGCAATCTTTTAAATCTCTTACAGTAAGAGGCTAATCTGTGGAAACAACTGTGGGTGAGTACAAACCTGGTTGCATGGGCTGCATGTAAGTCTTGTAGCAATTGTCACTTTTTTCTGACCTCATTGGTGTGGTGAAAATCAGAGGATTCCAAGGACTGTTGGAGGGTTCTCTATGCCCCATATCCAATTGTTGCTATACTTTAGTTGTTTAGCTATACTACATCCCACCTCCCCCTTTTAACCCAATTGATTTTAACCCAAATTGATTAACCCAAATTGGAGAAATCAGTCAACAGGTGATAAGAAAAGTACACATCTAGGTTGTGCATTACCAGTGACAATTCCTATAAATTTGAATATACTAAACCAAATTGACCATTTTTAAACAAAGATCTCAAGGATTGACATTATTTTTTTCCAATCTTAGGGACATGATTGCCTTATTCTGTTAGAAAAGACAGTAACTTCCATTTGAGACAACAAATATCATCCCCATATATCTACAGGAATGTCTGCCACAAACAGCTGTGCAGATTCCATATAAACTTTATGGAATAAAGGAATTCTATTTTCGTATTTCAGAACTCCTTGTTTTCACCCCTGTTGAGGACCCAAGATCAATCAAAATGGAGGATGATAACCAAGTAGATTATTTTTGTAGCCCAAAAGTAGACACAATAACAGTGACATCAACATTAGTATTGATAAGATAAAAAAAGTTTTATAAGTACAAAAGAGAGTTGTTCCCTGGGAATGTGCTATGACCACATGATATGACATTTTCCTATACTTCTAACCCCATGGTATCCTCACCATAAACTTTTTTGGTTCATGGGACATAAGATAGTAACAGCAATCAAGGAACAGAGCATCAATGGTCAACAGACAACATTCCTCTTGAAGACATAAGTACCTTAATTTCTCCAGTTTACCATCTTCATCAACTACAGCAAGAACAACAGTAACTCCTTTAAATTTAGACTGCCTTCCCCCAAACCTGATCCCACTGTGCCTGGGGAATAGGTCCCCCATAACTGTAGGCACTGCTTGTATGCCCATTGCAATTATAAGAACCCCATTCCCCACCCAGAGCCTGCCTCCTCCCCCCCCCCCCCCGCCACCCTTTGACCAGCTGGCCCACTGCTCAGGGTGAGCATCAGGCCAGAGGGAAGGTCCAATAACTCCTCCACTTCTGTGGAACTTCCTGGGTCTGCTCCGAACACATCGGATCTGCCTACCCATGAGGGACTACCTTGAGGCTGCTGGCACCTCATCTTTGGCCAAATGAGGAGAGGGAGAAAGAAGCCTGGGGGATTTGGTTTCCATTTCCTTGTTGAGCAGGTCAGCTAGCTCTCAACCAGGTAGTGGAAGTCTGAGGAGTAGACAGGAGAAAAATGAAGGCCAAGGTGAGATGTGCTGAAGCCCTAAGGCCCCAGGTTTCCTTCTCACAGAGGCGCTGGGGCCTAGGCCCAATGTAGGTGGGGAGATGAAGGCAGTTAGCTGACAGGAAATAGAGAGGACAGCAGAGTAAGAAACATGAATTCAAAAGTTAATCAAGACATGGGGGCACCAAACTCCATCCTGCTCGATCAGGAGAACTAGAAGCAGGAGAAGTGTGAAGAGGTCTCTAACAGGCCTGGAAGCACCAGCCAAAATAGGGAACCTGCTGGTACCATAGTCCTTGTGCACCCACCCCTCCTTCCCGCAGGGTACAGTGTCAGCGTCCGCCCAGATATCCTATCAGGCAGAGGACAAAGCCTAGGTCTTGGGACAGGACCAAGGAGCTGGAGACGCATAGGGGTGCTTCTGAGTCCTGAGAGCTGGAGTTGAAAAGTGTAAACAGCCGCTAGCATTAAAGGCCTTGCAGGGAGTTGAGGGTCCCTAGGCAGGAACTGCACAGGATGCTCTGGGGTGGGATGAACGGGAGGGGCGCCGGTTGTGTGCCCCTAGGGCTGAGTGTGTGCCCCAGGGTAATGGTCTGGGAGGGGCGGAGTTACAGGCTAGGAGGGGCGGGGCTTCTCCGCACCAGCTCAGGCCTTTTGGGTTCTGTCTCCTAAACGGTTGGTTGTCTTTAGGAAGCTCGGGGTGTGGGAGGATCTGTGTTCCCTGCGTCCCTTCCTGCCAGTATCCTTCCGGTGAGCGTTGAGCTCCGATGCTACGGTGGTGGGTGTCACGAGCTGGATCAGGTGCCGAGGAGCTGCGATTGGGTGAGTGACTTCAGCGGACAGCCATAAGCAGCACGGGCTGTGTCGTGCGCGTGAAGGCCTCCTCTCCACATTCCCTTCCCTTTTCTAATGGCACCCGGGTGGGAGCACAGTCTCAGGTAGCCTACTGGAAAAGTTTCTGGTGTCCAGGGAAATGGGAGCTAAGAACAGAGGAAGGCAGGACACAGAGAAATACCTGCAGATGGGATGAGGACCCACCCCGGCCCTAGGCGCATCGGACTTTTCTAACATTTTGCCTCCTGAGCACTGGACTTAGCTTTCTCTATTACACCTTCCTTTGCCCCTTTCCCCCTCACACTGGACATTTTGTATTTTTCTTTGTGCATCTTGTTTCTTTTCATTATAGATCTGCATAAGTGATTACCAATAACTACAATGTTAGTAGCCCGGTCAGTAGTAGGCTGTCTTTAAATCTCTTCTTCTACACCATTAATCCAAAATTCTTCAATTTAGCCTCGGGCATATTTTTCTTTGGTCACGAGCAGAAAACAGCTACTTTTTTTTTTTTTTTTTTTTTTTTTTTAACCAAAATATCACAAGAATGGTCCTTAGGCCACTAATATTCTTCTCCTCTGAAACTTGAACCTGTAGGGGCTATTCTTATTGAAATAACCACAGTGGCATTTCCTAGATATGATTTTAATATGCCCATATGTCCCTATAGTCCCAACTCACACCTATATCCTTACAGGGTATCAGTGCAGGTTGGAGTTAGGGTAGACCCAAAGTTCCATAGACTGCATGCAGAGTCCAGAAATGGACCCATATGTGTGTAGTTAAGTGGCTTTTTTAGACCAGGTTTCTTTGTGTAACCTTGGCTATCCTGGAGTTCACTCTGTAGACCAGGTTGGTCTCAAATTTATAGAGATCCACCTGTTATGTCTCCCAAGTGTTGAGATTAAAGGCGTGTACTACCATCACCTGGGTAGATAGGTTTTTTTTTTTAAATTTATTTTATTTTTTTTATTTTACAGTTCCCTCACCATCCCTCTCCCTCCCTCCCTCTCTCTCTCTCTCTCTCTCTCTTCTTCCCTCCCTTTCTCCCTCCCTCTCTGCCTCCCTCTTACCTTCTCTCCCCCCTCACATGCACCCGACCACCCTCCCCGCCCCTCCCACCCCATTCCACATGTGGGGTTATGCAATCCAGGAGGGGTCATGTATATCTTTGAAGACCTTTGAAGTAGGGACTAGGACTTCTCTCCTGTCTCTAGGTTAAGGGAGTATCCCTCCATGGGGGATGTGCATGCAAGGTCCTTTTCTGTACCAGGAATACATCCTGGTTCCACTGTCTGATGTCCCTTAGACTGCTCAGGTCTTCTAGCTGAGACCCATGTTTAGGGGGTCTGAGTCAGTCCCATGCTGGATTCCCAGCTATCAGTCTGGGGGCCCGTTAGCTCCTTCTTGTTCAGGTCAGCTGTCTCTATGTGTTTCTGCAACCTGGTCTTGTCCTCTCCCTCTGCATCTGGATTGTAGTTCAATACAGTATTTAGTTGTGGGTGTTTGCTTTCTGTTTCCAACAGGTACTAGATGAGGGCTCCATGATGGTGGATAAGTTAGTTGTTGATCTCACTATCAGGGAAGGGCATTTATGGTAGCCTTTCCACGGTTGCTCAAATTGTTAGTTGGCAGCAGTCTTGTAGGTCTCTAGACCTTTCTTTAGGTTCAGTTTTCTCTTCAAACCAATAATGGCTTCCTCTTTTATGTTAGTTCTCTCTCTCTCTCTCTCTCTCTCTCTCTCTCTCTCTCTCTCTCTCTGTCCTGTCTTCTATTCCTCCCCTGACTCAATCTTCCTAGTCCTATGTGCCCATGTGCTTTCCACTCTTCCCCTTCTCTTTCTCCTAGTTCCCTCTCTACTCACTGTCCTCTCTCACTCCCCATGTGCTCTGGAGAACTTGTCCCTTTTCCCTTCTGTGAGGGACCTTATATGAATCTCTTAGATTCCTTTTTGTATCCTAGCTGCTCTGGCGGTGCGAATTATAGGCTGATGATCCTTTGCTCTAGGCCTAAAATCCATATATGAGCGAGTATATACCATGTTCCTCTTTTTGTGACTGGGTTACCTGATTCAGGATGGTTTCTTTAAGTTCCATTCACTTGCCTGCGAATTTCAAGATTCCATTGTTTTTTTTCCCCAGAGTAGTATTCCATTGTGTAGATGTGTCACATCTTCTTTATCCATTCTTCAATTGAGGGGCATCTAGGTTGCTTCCAGTTTCTTGCTATTTCAAATAGTGCTGCTATGAACATAGTTGAACACATGTCTTTGTTGCATGGATGTGGAGGGTGATTGTCGGGTCCTGTGGTAAACTGATTCCCCTTTTTCTGAGGAACCACCATACTGATCTCCTAAATGGCTGTACAAGTTTGCACTCCCACCAGCAGTGGAGGAGTGTTCCCCTTTCTCCACATCCTCTCCAGCATAAGTTGTCATTGGTGTTTCTAATTTTAGCCATTCTGGCAGGAGTAAGATGGTATCTCAAAGTTGTTTTGATTTGCATTTCCCTGATAGCTAAGGATGTTGAGTACTTTAAGTGTCTTTCAGTCTTTTTGATTTCCTCTATTGAGAGTTCTCTATTCAGTTCTGTACCCCATTTTTTAGATAGGGTTATTTGATGCTTTGTTTCTTGAGTTCTTTGTATATTTTGGAGATCAGCCCTTTGTCAGATGTAGGATTGGTAAAGATATTTTTTTCCCAGTCTGTGGGTTGCCGTTTGGTCTTGTCATCTGTGTCCCTTGCCTTAGAAGCTTCTAAGTTTGAGGAGGTCCCATTTATTGTCGATCTCAGTGTACCAATTTGTTCAAGGTTACCTCCCATTTTCTCTTCTAAGAGGTTCAGTGTGGCTGGATTTATGTTGAGGTCTTTGATCCATTTGGACTTGAGTTTTGTGCATGGCGACAGACATGGGTCTATCTGCAGTCTTCTATACACCATCATCCAATTGTGCCAGCACCATTTGTTGAAGATGCTTTCCTCCCCCCATTGTATTCTTTTAGCTGTTATGTCGAAAATCAGGTGTTCATAGGTGTGTGGGTTTATATCAGGATTTCCAATTCGATTCTATTGGTCTACCAGGCTGTTTTCAGGACTATAGCTCTGTAGTAGAGCTTAAAGTCAGGGATGGTGATGCCTCCTGAAGTTCTTTTATTGTACAGGGTTGTTTTGGCTATCCTGGGTCTTTTGTTTTTCCATATAAAGTTGATTAATATCCTTTCAAGGTCAGTGAAGAATTGTGCTGGGATTTTAATGGGGATTGCATTGAATTTGTAGATTGCTTTGGGCAAGATTGGCATTTTTACTATATTTATCCTACCTATCCAAGAACATGGGAGATATTTCCATTTTCTGGTATCTTCTTTAATTTCTTTCTTTAGAGCCACAAAGTTCTTATTATATAGGTCTTTCACTAGTTTGGTAAGCGTTACCCCAAGATACTTTCTGTTGTTTGTGGCTATTGTAAAGGGTGATATTTCTCTGATTTCTTTCTCAGCCTCTTTGTCGTCTGAATAAAGTAGGGCTACTGATTTTTTTGAGTTTATCTTTTATCCTGCTAGTTTGCTGAAGGTGTTTATCAGCTGTAGGAGTTCCCTGGTAGAGTTTATTGGGTCGCTTATGTAAACTATCATATCATCTGCAAATAGAGAAAGTTTGACTTCTTCCTTTCCAGTTTGGATTCTCTTATCTCCTTTTGTTGTCTTATAGCTTTAGCTAGAACATCAAATACAATATTGAAGAATTATGGAGAGAGAGGGCAGCCTTGTCTTGTTCCTGACTTTAGAGGAATCGCCTTAAGCTTCTCTCCATTCAGTTTGATGTTGGCTGTTGGTTTGCTGTATATTGCTCTTATTATGTTTAGCTATGTCCCTGTTATCCCTGATCTCTCCAAGACCTTTATCATGAAAGGGTGTTGAATTTTGTCTAAGGCTTTTTCAGCATCTAGGAAGATGATCATATGGTTTTTCTTTTTCAGTTTGTTTATATGGTGGATCACGTTGATAGATTTTCGTATGTTAAACCATCCCTGCAATCCAGGTATGAAGCCTACTTGATCATGGTGGATGATTTTTCTGATGCAATCTTGGATTCAGTTTGCCATTATTTTATTGAGTATTTTTGCATCGATGTTCATCAGGGATATTGGTCTGTAGTTTTCTTTCTTAGTTGTGTCTTTGTGAGGCTTGTGTACCAAGGTTATTGTGGCCTCTTAGGAAGAGTTTGGCAATGAACCTCCTGTTTCTATTCTGTGGAACAATTTGAGGAGTTTTGGTATTAGTTCTTCCTTGAATTTCTGGTAGAATTCTGCACTGAAGCCATCTGGCCCTGGGCTTTTTTTGGTTGGAAGGCTCTTGATGACTTCTTCTATTTCATTGCAGGTTATAGGTGTATTTAAGTTGTTTGTCTATTCTTGATTTAATTTTGGTAAGTGGTAGTTATCCAGAAATTTGTCCATTTCCTTTGAATTTTCAATTTTTGTTGAATACAGGTTTTTAAAGTATGACTTGAAAATTGTCTGGATTTCCTCTGTGTCCATTGTTATGTTCCCCTTTTCGTTTCTGATTTTGTTAATTTGCATGTTCTCTCTCTGCTTTTTTGTTAGTTTGGATAAAGGTTTGTCTATCTTGTTGATTTTTCTCAAAAACCAACTCTTCGTTGCATTGATTTTTTTGTATTGTTTTCCTGGTTTCTATTTTGTTGATTTCAGCCCTCAAATTGATAATTTCCTGGTGTCCACTCCTCCGTGGTGAGTTTGCTTCTTTTTGTTCTAAGGCTTTCAGTTGTGCTGTTAATTCTCTTATGTGACTATCCTCTATTTTCTTCATATGGGCACTTAGTGCCCTTGTAACACTGCTTTCAAGGTGTCCTATAAGTTCAGGTATGTTGTGTCCTCATTCTCGTTGAATTTTAGAAAGTTGTTAATTTCTTTCTTTATTTCTTTTTTGACCCAGGTGTGGTGCAATTGCACAATGTTCAGTTTCCACGAGTT